AAAAAAAGTATAACTGATATACTAAGAAAGGAGAGAAAATGGAACCACATAAAATATTCAGTTAAAACCACAAAAAGCAGAAGAGTAGAAGACAGAAAATGAAAACAAAGAACAACAAAGAGAAAACAGTAATGAATGTAGTAAATATTAATCCAAGTGTATCAATAATCACTTTGAATGTCAATAGTCTAACTATGCCAATTAAAACACAGAGATTGTCAGAGTTGATCAAAAACATGACCCAATTATATATTGTCTACAAGAAATCACTATACAGACACCTGCAGATTAAAATAAAAAAGTACATGAAGAAATGCTCTACAACATATACCAGCAAGGAAATATAAATTAAAACAATCAGATCCTCCCACACACCTATTAGAATGGCCAGAATACAGATCACTGACAACACTTAAATGCTGGTGAGGATGTGGAGCCACAGGAATTCTCATTCATCGCTGGAGGGTATGCAAACTGGTACAGCCACTTTGGGTAACTGTTTGGCGGTTTCTTATAAAATTGAACATACTCTTAATATATGATACAGTAATCATAACCCTTGGTAATTACCCAAAGGGGCTGAAAACTTATATCCACACAAAAACCCATGCATGGATATTTATAGCAGTTTTACTCGTAACTGTCAAAACTTGGAAGCAACAAGTTGTCCTTCAGTAGGGTAGAACACAGCTCGTGGTGCATCCAGACAGTGGAATATTATTCAGCACTAAAAAGAAATAACCTATCAAGCCATGTACAGGCATGGACAAAACTTAAAGGCATATTACTAAGTAAAAAAAGCCAATCGGAAAAGCTTACATACTGTATGATTTTAACTATACAACAGTCTGAAAAAGGTAAAACTGTAAGAGAGTAAAAAGGTGACTAGTTACCAGGGGCTAGGGGGAGGGTGGAATGAATAGCCAAGCACAGAGGATTCTCAGGACAGTGAAATTACTCTGCGTGATACTGTAATGATCAAGACAGGTCAATGTAAAAACTGGTGACTATGAATAAGGGCCATAGTCTAGCTGACAATAATGTCAATTTCCTGGTTTCATATTATACTACAGTTACATAAGATGCTATCATTGGAGGGAAACTGGGTTAAGGTTTCAAGTGGCTCTACGTACTATTTGTGTAATTTTCCATGACTCTATAATCATGTCAAAGTTAAAGGCAAAAAAATATATAATAAAACAGACCACATAGTGACAATCATAATAAAAATAACATAAAATCATATGGCAGAACTAAACCAAATATATCTGTTGTATAAATAAATGTATATGGACTGAACTTGTATATCAAAATAAAATAATTTTTTCAGATTGGCTCTCCAAATATAACCCAAGTTTATGTGGCATGTAAGATAGACGCATCAAGTGTTTCAGGAAGATAAAGACATACTAGGCAAATGCAAGCAAGAAGAAAGAAAGATAACTAAAAATTTGGAACTCAAGCCAAAATACATGAAATGAAATAAAGAACATACTTTTTAATGCTAGAAATTGCACCTCAAATTAAAGATACAACCTAAAATCATATCCAATAGCACAGATCTTATGGCTAACCTTTGAACTTCCAATAAAAGACAATGCACTTTTTTTTCAAATGTTCAAAAAAAGTCACAAAAATTGAGCATAAATTCAGCCACAAGGAAAACCTTATTAAGTTTTATACAGAGAAAATACTATGAACAACATTCTCAGATAAGAATGCAATAAAACTGGAAATTAATAACAAAAGGGCCTTCCATCTTCTTAAGCTCTCTACTAAATAATTCTTATATTACAAGAGAAATACAAACTAAAATTGCAGAATTTCTAGAAAATGATAATGAAAGTACTACATATCAGAACCTATGGGCTATAAATAAAGCACTTATCAAAAGAAAATTCTGCCTTAAATACTTATATCAATAAAACTTAATGAAAAGAAATAAGCAACAAATGAAAAGGTTTCTAAAAGAAAAGCAAGTTAATCAAAAGAAAGTAGAAGGAAGGGGGAAAAAATAAAAACAAGAATTAAGAAACCAAAAAAGAGAAGTAATAAATAAGATGATTTGTTGGAAAAAAAAAAATCAATAAAATTACTAGCTAACTTAATAAAAAAGGGAAATAGCACAATCACACAAAATAAATAACAAATTGAAAAATAACCATTGAAAACATAAAATTCAATCAAATCGTAAGACTACTTGGTACAACTCCATGTAAATATAAAAATCTTTATAAAATAAATACTTTCTGGGAAATAGAACTTTCTAGCTATTAGAGAAGTTACTGAACGTCATTACTGAGCTCAAAGTTTAAACAGATCAATTACACAGAGGAAACTGATAACTTTTCCTAAGAACTACCACCCCCAGAAGAGTCACCATGCCCAGGTTTTACAGAGAAATGGGTCAAATACTCAAAGGCCCGAAAATTCATGGCTACTTAAACTACTCCAGAGCAAGAAAAAAAGAAGGAAAACTTCTGAACTATTTTATGAAGTAAATGACACTCAAACCTGATAAAGAAAACAGAAAGACACACATTCAAACACACAATTACTACCAATCCACAAATAATGGTATCATAATCAACTCAGGTTCACTCCAGCAAAGCGAGGGCTGTGGAATGTCAAGAAATCCATTCAGCTCATTCCCTCAAAATAATAGGTTTACTGAAAAGATCTGGTGATTATCGCTTTAATCACATATTCAAACTTGGAACTACTTAGAACTATGGACCTCCTGATGGCTTCAGCATCATCTATGATGTATATGCTTACCAAAAGTGTTCAATCATAATATAATCAAGTCTTCAACCCAAACTTCAGTTTACAGGGAATATGCAAGTTAAGTGAACCAATCAAACAATTCCATGAGGAAAAAATTCAGACAAAACCAGAAAAGTTTTACACACAAGACAACTGGCCTGATCACATCAATAAATCAATGTCATGTGGGGAAAGTGGGAAGATTAAGCTAGATTAAAAGAAAATAAGGAGGGGCTCCCGGGTGGCTCAGATGGTTAAGCGTCTGCCTTCGGCTCAGGTCATGATCCCAGGGTCCTGGGATCGAGCCCCACATTGGGCTCCTGGCTCAGCGAGGAGCCTGCTTCTCCCTCTCCCTCTGCCTCTCTCCCTGCTCATGCTTTCTCTCTCTCTCTCTCTGTATCTCTGTGTCTCAAATGAATAAATAAAATCTTAAAAAAATTAAAACAAAACAAAACAAAACAAAAAAAAAGAAAATAAGGAAATATAACACTATACTAGAGTGTGGTTCAAAAAAAACAGCGATAAAAGCATTCTAGGACACTATGGACTAGATGGTACTAGGGAATGACTTAATTTTCTTACATGTGATAATAGTATTGTAATTACACAGAAAAATATCCTTATTTTAAAATATGCATGCTGAAGTATTTAGAAGTGTCATGATGTTTACAATGGTTCACACACCACACACACAACCACACAAACATATAATCACTTACAAATAAGTAAAAACAGCAAAATGTTAACAACTGTTGACTCTAGGTGGTTACACAGGTATTCAATTTCAACACTTTCTGTTGAAAAGTAGGCAAATAACTTCAAAATGCTCTTATTACTCAAGTGCTAAAAATAAATAAATCAGAGCAAACTTGGTTTAAACATCTTTAAAATTTCATGTATGAGTTACATATTTTGAAATCATATTCTAAAACAAGCGTTCACATTTTTAAATGAATCAGGAAGTTAATAATCAGAAGAATAACTTTCTCATTCCTTATGGGCAAAAACCAATAATAACAGTTAACACGTAACATTTACTATGTGTCAGGCACTGTTCTAAGCACTTTTACATACATTAACTCCTTTAATTGTCTGGACAGCCATGTGACTAGATTATCACTGTCTCCATTTTCAGGTAAGGAATAAGCCGCAACACAGTAAGTGACAGAGTCAGCTGCCCCAGCCAGAAAATACAGCTCCAGAATCCACACTCCTAATACACAATACTATTCTATTCGGTACTATCAGGTGGGACAACCTATGTTTCTAGCAATACTGACTTGATGATGCTGGAGTAATAATATCCCTTGATTTTAGTAATATTAATAATCCAACCATATTATGATACAAGCAAAGAACCAAAAGTTTAGACACCAAAAATTTAGACACCATTACATTACTTAAACAAGAGGCATTAAAAGTGACTTCAGGTGGTTTAGGTAAATATTTGGTTATCTGATAAAATCTATCTATACTTTTACTATGGGATCAGTGATTATAATGAATATCTTCATAAACTGGATGATGACCCAATCTCGGTTAATACATGACCCCTTGATTAAAACATGACCCAATCTTGACTCTCTGGGATAAAGATGGAACCAAAGCAGTTCCCAGCGATGAAAATAATTATTTACAAGATGGTAAAATTCTTTTAGGCAAAAGCTTTACCTTCACCTATTTACCTGGCTGAATAATTTACATAATAGTTTGTAGCATTTTATAGAAATCTTATTATGTCACATGAAACATTTTCTGGTTTATATAAACGAAAATATTTTTTTAAATGAGAAGATAGCTTAAAAATAATAATTGATTTAACAGAGGTCACTCAATGAGCTTGAAGCAAATTACAGATGTAGATGACAAGAGAAAACTACCATTAATTTTCTTAGGTGGGATAGTGGTATTGTGGTTATGGAAAAGATCTTTAATTAGATTTGTGCATGCCATGTCTTAGGCACATTCAAGAACTCTCTAATACTTTAGTAAACAAAGGCCAAAGGGTATTATTACTCTATAAAGTCAATCTTTATATTTTTACAGGCTTAATAAACATAGATGATAATATTAAGACAAAATTAAATTTTCCATCAAATATTTGCAAGACTAAAAACATATGTGAAAATATTTTTCATCCCTGGACTACAATAAATAGTAAGTTAAAAAAAACTTACTTGGGGTGGAGGACAGTAAATCAGTTCTATTAAATATGTAGATATATAAAACTTTACCTGCTTTTTCTTTCAATTAGAATGGCCACATAAGATGCTGGCAAAGCGGCACCAAAGCCAGGACTCCAAGAGTAGAATTTTCCAAGTATCTTCCTGAAATTCAAATTTGGAATGTTTGTATGAAATTTCTATTTGGTTATTTCAGTTATTACGAATAGAAATTCCCCCTTCTCAGTCCACCCTCTACCTAATGTCCCACAGTACCTCAAATTCAACATGTCCATAACCAAAGTCATTAGCTCTCTTCTCTATCCCCATGAATTTGCTTTCTCTCCTCTATTTTCCTAGGTGAATGGGATCAACACCTACCTACCCACTCATGTGTGATGCTTTGAGACATCCTTAGCTTCTCCTTTTCCCCTACACATTAAATCGTTCCCTTAAATTTTTCCATACACAATTTCTCTCTCAAATTCCTCTCCAACCTGCCACCCCTGCCTCAGTTAAGTCCCTCACCATCTCCTATTCTAGTTATAACAGCAAACTAATAGGTATCTCTCCTTCCAATAATTTAGTCAGTCATATTCATTCACACATTCCCTGGATCCAATGTTACTCACTATACAAATCCTCTATATTCTCAGTTGCCTTATCTATCAAATGGGAACAATAATAGTACCTATCTCATACAGTTATGAGAACTACATGAGATATTTCCTAGCACCATGCACAGCACAGAAAGTGTGAGGAAAATGTTAGCTGTTGTTATGATTACTATTACTACTATCACTATTATTACTACTACTATTTTTTAACACATGATAAATATTCAACAAATGTCTCCCCTTCTTTGCTTCTACAACCCTTGATAACTTTTCCTTACAGTACTTATGTATTTTATATTTTTTAGTTTTGTGTGTGTGTATATATTATTTTTCACTTACTAGAATATGTCCCTTGAAAATAAGAACCTACAAAGTGTCTCACACACTATAAATGGCCATTAGCTGATTGGGTTTTTAAAGAGACCAAAAAGTGGTGACTGGGTGGCTCAGTCGGGTAAGCATCTGCCTTCAGCTCAGGTCAGGATCCCAGAGTTCTGGGATCAAGCCCCCCATCAGGCTCCCTGCTCCATGGGGAGTCTGCTTCTCCTTCTCCCTCTCCCTCTGCAGCTCCCCCTGTTTATGCTCTCTCACTCTCTCTCTCTTAAATAAATATCTTAAAAAAAAAAGACCAAAAAAAGATATTTGGAAACATTAGAAAGATTATTTTTTTCCTTTCAAAGACTATATGTTCCTAAGAAAGTCAATCTCCCTAAGAAAGGGAGAAGCAGCACACAGAATTTGCGAAAAGTGATCTGAACAAAGTTGGCCGATTGCTAAATAACACATTATAAGAAAAATGTATGTACATACACATAAGGATTAAGAATCATTGATGAAATGGTATTTTTTTTTTTCTAACTGAAGCTTAGCTTTAGAAGAATTAGAAAACCAACAGAGCATATATAACATGGGTATTTCTAAAATGAACATCAGAAACCCTCGGCCTGAGAAAACCAGAAGTGATTTTCCCTCCAACATAAAATCTATAAAGGCCTTAAGAAGTTATTGAATGTAAAAATTAAAGAAAAATAACTCAAGGAGTCAGTTATAGGAGTAACACAGATGTTATTATAAGTATTGTAACTATAAACCCAATAAATGTTTTCCATTTCCACAAGTTAACCAAACAGGTTCACAGAACATAAAGAAATATGCTACAATAGCAACTTATGATTATTGCAATATTTAAAGACCTAATTATATTATAACTTTATTTTTAGTGTGTGAGCAAGTATTAGAAACTTTCCAGAGAACATATGATAGAGTTTCTTACACACATTTTCAAGTCAAGTTTAAAGGCATGATTTTCTCAATAGTATAAACCTTATCAATTATTTTCTGCATAATTAAAAGTTTATAAATATTAATGTATTGAGGGAAAAAAACTGTAAAAGACATATGAAAATTATCTTTTTAACTGTAGTTAATGTATACCTACAGAACTACTCTGAGCAACACTAATATGAGAAAAATATAAATTTAGTATTTTAATTTGACCATTTTAACAAAAACACTAGTTTGGATTTTCAACAATCACTAGGGAAAAAGATAAGTAAATACATAATAAACATGTTAGGTGTCTCATAGAACTAAAAACTGAATTCCATAATCATAGGAAGCATGAGACACAGGTAATCAAAAGACTTAATCAGGACCAAAAGTTTCATCAATAGGATGTGCCAGAAGTTAATTTACTGTTTTACATATAAACACGAGCATTTTATGGTCCTTTTGAAGTCTATTCACTGCATGTGGACCTCACCTATATCATGGATGAGTGCTTTGAATTCCTGATCCATGAAATTGAAAAGCTAAGAAAGCATAATCAACAACTTGGTAAATATAGTAAGCCTCAAAAAATGCACGATACACCAAAACACTTTTGCTATATAATCACTGCAATAATTTAAAGTTTATATGACATCTTTAGGCCAAGAGGCCCACAACTCCTCATTTCACAAGCTTTCTTTGAGATAAATAAATGTCTTTGATGGAGAAAAAAATATACAAGCAGTGACCTGCACAACATTTATAAAAACATCCATTTGTTTCAGTTTCAACAAAGGAATCTGTATTAATCTCCAGTGGTGATTATGAGTACCAACCTTAAAATGCAAAAGAAAGCCATATACAAGGCCCCATTAGCAGTCAGAAATGAAGCAGATTGTAGGATCTCAGGGAGTAGTTTGTGTAAATAATAGTCTAATTTTCGTTTCCGGAGAATTGCTGCAATCTGGAAAGAGAAAGGTTTTTTTGTTTAATTCAACCAATTTTTCCCACTTAAATTAGCTCTTAGGTGAAAGGTACTGAATAATAGCATATATTTTAAAAATTAAGTTAAAACTGATATTTTACTGGTTCCTCTATAAAAATACAATTTCTGGGACAGAAAAGAAGACACTTAAATTTACTGAAGATATAATGGGTAAATTATACACCAAGAAATTACAACATGGGTCATAAAGAATAACTTCCAAATGGTAAATATTTGTAATACCTTGAAAACAGTTTTAAACTGAATAATGGAATACATTTTTAAATGGAAAAAAAAAAAGCACAATTCAAATAGAAATTGAATGCCAAAACAAAAATATTTTACAGATATTATCAGCCTGGATATTAGAAAAACTCGGTGACAGAAACCAAAGAAATTCATTCAGCTATTCAAACATGACTACTGTGTGACAAAACCATGCTATGAATACAAAATGTAAAAAATAAAATTAATGATTTCTGGCCCACTGGAGCCCATAAAAAAAAAAAAAAAAAGGACTGAAAAACAAAGATTGAGAATCTAGTCTATTATGGGTTGGTACCACAATGTTACCAGAACACGGAAACAGGAACAAGTTCCTATGCAGAGGATGTACACAGAATCCTGTACAGAAGTTTGTCACAAAAAGATTTCATAAAGATATCACCCGATGAGTCTTCATGACTTATCTTTTAAATTTAGATTGAAAATGTATTTGTTTTTAGTGTTTTTTTTGTATGTGAACTCCGAATTTAAAAGAAAGGTTTTAGGACTAAAACAAACAAAAAAAGCTCTGAAATAAGTTAACAATGATATTTAAAAATCAAGACCTAAGTCTTTAAGTATTTATCGAGTACACTATTAATGTTATAGGATATAAACAGAATATAAATTATAACATGGTATGATAAGATACGGATAAAGATATTCAAGAATGATTAAGTGTTAATAATACAATACAAAGTACCTTGGAAGTTTATCAAAGAGTTAATTTAATATACGTGTAGGCAGCAGTTTCATTGCAAAAGGGATATGAGCTATTTTTGGAAAAACAGAATTTTCACAGGCCACAGGGAAAAAATATTTTTCCATCATGATAAAACAATGTATCAAAGGAACAAAAGTTAAAACCACATAATTAGCGAATAAGGTAGGAGGTGTAAGAAAGGGCAGGACTGACTTGAAAGAAGACTAGAAAACTCTCTATTCACTCCCACATATCAATTTTCCTAAGGTCCATGATCAACAAATCCAATGGCCTCTTCTCAGTTTTCTTACTCCACCCCTCTCAAAGCTCTGAAACTGACCATCTCCTACTTCATTCAATTAAACAAACTGTTATTAAGTATTATGCCATACACAGGAAAAACAATGAATATCTAATCTCTGCCATCAAGGAACATAAAATGTTGACAAGGAAACAGACACATAAACAAGAAACTTTAATAATGGTGTAATGCGAGACTAGAGAAAAAAGAAACTGCTATAGAAATATATATTAGGGAATTACTAAAAGGAGATGGGACTGGGCAGGTGATGATGTCTGACTGATATCACTGAATTTTCTAAGACAAATCTTGACAAATAGGTGGAATTTTGACCAGAGAGGTTTCTGTAGTTTCCATGACAACGCATTCTTTTCATTTTCCCATTGTATCCCTAAATCCTTTTCCTTTGTTAGCATTTCTTCCTCAGATTGCTACTCATTCCAAATATGCTCTCTCCCGTGGCATCATCTACCATCTCAAAGTAGTAATTATAACTCCAACCTCATCCGTAAATTCTTAATCCATCCTTCTGATATCTACTGGACGTATCAAGAAATATGTACCACAGTTATTTAAAAAATCAGCATGTCCAAAGTAGAACTCATTATATTTCTCCAAAATGCTTTTACTTATGAGTTTCCCACCTTATTACATCCACCCAATTACTCAGGAACAAAATGCTGGTGTCATTTTCAATCACTCCCTGATCCTCAACCATCTCATCAGTTCTTTTTTTTTTTTTTTTTAAAGACTTTTTATTTTTAAGTTAATCTCCACACCCAATGTGGGGCTCAAACCTACAACCCCATGGTCGAGTCACAAACTCCACCAACTAAGTCAGCCAGGCATCCCAACCATACCATCAGTTCTAATGGTCTCCTAGTATCTTCAGGTTTTGGAATGTAATGTCTCTTTCATTTTAGACTTAATAGTGGGCAGAATCTGCTACTCTGTTATATATTCAAGTAGATACCAAAAAAGAACCACCCCCCCAAAAAACAAGTCCTGCTGTTCCTAGAAAGGAAGAAACAAAATTATCCCTGTTTTCAAATAACTTGATTGTCTAACATAGAAAAATAGAAAATCTCAAACAATATACAAAATAAAAACAAACCAACAAAACCCAACCTCCTAGAATTAATAAGGCAGTTCAACAAGGGCACAGGACACAGATAAACATACAAAAATCATTTGTAGGGGTGCATGGATGGCTTAGTCGGTTAGGCGTCTACCTTCAGCTTAGGTCCTCCAGGTCCTGAGATTAAGCCCCACATTGGGCTTCCTGCTCAGTGGGGCGTCCGCTTCTCTCTCTCTCTCCCTCTGCCCCTCCCCACTGCTTGTTCCCTCTCTCTCTCGCAAATAAATTCTTTTTTTAAAAAAATCATTTATACAAGAACAATCACCATATGGATACCAAAATTAAAAATACAGTAGCATTTATAAATCATCAAAAAAATAAAACACTTAGAGAAAAAACTACCTGTATAGGATTTGTATGCTGAAAACTACACAATGCTGATGAAAGAGAGTAAAGACAGAGTAAATAAATGTTTTGGACTAGAAGACTCAGCATGTCAATTCTCCCCAAAGTGACACAATTTCTATCACAATCTCTGAAAGATTTCTGCAGATAGATATAGGCAAGATTATCCTGAAATTTATACAGAAAAACAAAGAGATTATAAGAACTAAAACAACTTTGAAAAAGAATAAAGTGAATAAGTCTACCCAATTTTAAGACTTATTATATTCATAGAGCAATTGGGCTTTGTGTTATTGGCAGAGTAATACACAAATAGGTTAATGAAATAAAATAGAGTACCTAGAAATAGACCCACACAAATACTTCCAACTAAGGACTTTTCAACAAATGGTGCTAGAGCAACTGGATATCCACAGGACAGACAATAAAAAATAAAAATGAAAAACAACCTTAACCTAAGTCTCAAAATTCACACAAAATTTAATTCAAAATGCATTATAGACATAAATGTAAAACATAACACTACAAAACTTTAAGGAAAAAAAAATCAGAGAAAATCTTAGGGATTTAAGGCTAGGCAAAGAGTTCTTAGACATGAGACCAAAAGCATCATGTATAAAAGGAAAATCTGTACATTACACTTCACAATTAAAACTTTTTCTCTTTGGGGCGCCTGGGTGGCTCAGTTGTTAAGCATCTGCCTTTGGCTCAGGTCATGATCCCAGGGTCCCGAGATCGAGCCTCACATCTGGCTCCTGGCTCAGTGGGGAGCCTGCTTCTCCCTCTCCCACTCCCCCTGCTTGTGTTCCCTCTCTCACTGTGTCTCTCTCTGTCAAATAAATAAATAAAATCTTAAAAAAAAAACAAAACGCTTTTTCTCTTTGAAAGATGTGTTAAGAATATAAAAAGACTAGGGCGCCTGGATGGCTCAGTTGGTTAAGTGACTGCCTTTGGCTCAGGTCATGATCCTGGAGTCCCTGGTTCGAGTCCCACATCGGGCTCCCTGCTCGGCAGGGAGTCTGCTTCGCCCTCTGACCCTCCCCCCTCTCATGTGCTCTCTCCCTCTCATTCTCTCTCTCTCAAATAAATAAATAAAATCTTTAAAAAAAAAAGAATATAAAAAGACTAGCTACAGAATGGGAGAGAATACTTGTAAACTACATATCCAGCAGAGGACTAGTACCTAGAATATACAAGGAAATCTCAAAACTCAACAGTAAAAAAGTAATGCAACTAAAAAGTGGCAAAGATATGAACAGACATTTCATTGAAGATGCGCAAATGGCAGACAAGCACACTAGCCATTAAGGAAATGCAAATTAAAACTATAATGAGCTATCACTACACAAACATCAGAATGGCTAAAATTTAAAAATACCGGAAACACCAAATTCTGGCAAGAAGGCAGAGAAACTGGATCACTCATGTATTACTAGGGAGAATGCAAAGTGGTTTAGTCATTCTGGAAAGCAGTTTGGCAGTTTCCTGAAAAAATAAACAAGCAACTATCATATGACCCAGCAACTACAGTCCAGGGTGTTTATCCTAGAGAAATGAAAATGTATGTTCACACAAAATCTGGGCACAAATGTTTAGAGCAGTTTTTTTACATAGTAGTCAAAAACCAGAAACAATCCATATGTCTTTCAAGAAGTGACTGGTTAAAAAAAATGGTGGAGTGTCCATACAAGAGAATAGTACTTAGCTATGAAAAAGAATAAATGAGTGATACATGAAAAAATCTTGATAAATCTCCTAAAAAATATGATGAGTAAAAAAGCCAATCCCAAAACACTGTATAATGCATGATTTCATTTATGTAACATTCTTGAAATGACAAAATTATGGAAATGAAGAATAAAGTAATGTTGGCCAGATATGTGGTAGGGAAGTGGGTATTGCTATAAAAGGGCAACCTCAGGGATCCTTTGGGTGATGGAAACGTTCTGTATCTTGACTATATCAATGCTAATATTTTGGTTGTGATATTTTACTATCATTTTGCAAAATGATACCACTGGGAGAAACCAAATAAAAAATACAGGAAATCTCTCTCCATTATTTCTTTTAACTGTATAAGAATCTACAATCATCTCAAAATAAAAAGTTCAATTAAAAAAAAAAAGCAGTTATCCACATGGTCAATAGGTAAACGAAATATGCTCATCATCATTAGTCTTCATTGAACAAAGAATTAGCACTACACACACATAAGAATGACTAAAATA